ATTTTCACACTGGCTTCCCCTCCCCCCTCCAAACAGAATGTCACATTAGCCAATCCTCTGGTGCCATGTTTTTATTCATTTAGTTTTAGTTTTTATTTTTGTGTCGGTCGTGGGGCTTGAACTCTGGGCCTGGGCGCTGTCCCTCAGCTCTTCAGCTCAAGGCGAGCGCTCTACCACTAGCCACAGCAACACTTCTGGTTTTCTGGTAGCTCATTGGAGATAAGAGTCTCATGAGCAGGTTGCTGGTGGCTCCCGCCTATCTTCCCAGCTATTCAAGAGCCAAAGATCTGAGGATCAGGGTTTGAAGCCAGTCCAGGCAGGGAAGTCTGTGAGACTCTTATCTCCAATGAACCACAAGAAAACCAGAAAAAAAAAATGATGCTGTGGCTCAAAGTGGCACAGTGCTAGTCTTGAGCAAAAAGAGCTCAGGGACAATGCCCTAGCCCTGATTTCAAGCCCCACAACCAACAAAGGAAAAAAAACCCCAAAACTCATGGACTTTCCTGCTCAGGCTGGCTTTGAACCACGCTCCTCAGATCTCTGCTTCTGAGTAGCTGGGATTGGACACATGAGCCACTGGCACCCAGCAATGCTGCACTTTTTGTGAAGAAAAAAACTTCTTGGGAATTTAAAAGCCAGACTGAAATGTCCAAACAGGACAAGATTGTGTTTTTTTTATTTTTTGGTGCTGGTACGGTTTGAACTCAGGGCCTCAAACTTTTGCTTTGGTTTTTCATTCAGGGCTAGCACTACCACACTTCTATTTCTGCCTTTTTGCTAGTAATTGGAGATACGGATCTCATGGACTTTCTTGCCCAGGCTGGCTTCAAACTGTGATCCAAGAGATTGGCCTCCTAGTAGCATGGTTTCTGTTTATCAGTTAGAAATGATTTTAGCTGCAAGTATGGAAGTCATTGGGAATCTGGCTTGAAATGAACAGAGACTTTCTTCTCTTTAAATGATATACTAATACATCCCAAACAAAGAAGTAGAGGCTGCAGGGTCTCAACGGATATCTCAAGGGATGCTATCTTTGAGATACTCATGACTTTTTCCTCGTGATTGTAAGATGGTTGCACCTGCTCCAGGCATCACAACCTCACACCACATTCCGGGGCAGTGAACAGAAATTAAGTCTTCAGGCTTTCCTCTCTGGTCAGAAAGGAAAATGTTGCTTTTCTTATTGAGCAGGCAAGACTAGGTCACATGGTTGATCTAGGTACAATGCTGGCAGGGAAAATAAGCTTTGGTTTTCCCAGACACTCTGGGGGGAATAAAGACCTTGAACCACGTGGTCGATTAATATGCCACTTCCAATTCTTCCTGTGTCTGTGCATAATGTATTTTTAATTTAAAATAGGGGTGGGTCCTGTGCCTGATGATGCAGGACACGTGTCACGTGATGACAGCCTGAAGGCTACTCTTGATGTTGGGTAGGGGTTTAATTAGATGCCATGTTTGCCTCCCGGGGGGCCTCTTCTTGAGCACTTCCACTCAGGAAGGCTTAAGTCTTGGAAAACATTGGCTCTCAGCCAGATACCAGTGGCTGTCATCCTTCCTACTCAGGAGGCTGAGATTTGAGGATCGCAGTTCAAAGCCAGCCCAGATAGGACCAAGAAACTATCCAAAACAAACAAACAAACAAAAAAAAAACCAGAAGTAGAGCTATAGCTCAAGTGGTAGAGTGCTAGCCTTTAGCAAAAAGATCAGAGTCCAGAGCCCAGGTCCTAAGTTCAATCCCCAAGACTGGCAAAAGAAAAAAAGAAAGAAGGAAGGAAGGAGGGAAGGAAAAAAGGAGGGAGGGAGGGAGGGAAAGAAGGAAGGAAAAAAAAAAGGCCCAGAGGAGACTCTAAAGGGCTTGGACATAAAGTGGCTTTATGTAGGAATCTGGAATAACTCAAGCACTTTTAACTCATTTAGTCTCCAAGCTTCCCATGGTAGCCAAAGCTCAAAGTGGTTAAATCATTTGCCCAGGGCTTGCCAGCCAGCCTGGTGGACCACAGTAACCACACACAATTAATTCTCCCTAGTTGCTTTACCCCTCTCCCTTCTTTTTTTTTTTTTTTCTTTTCTTTTTTTTGGGGGGAGGGGGCGGTTTGGTCGTGGGGCCTGAACTCTGGGCCTGGGCGCTGTCCCTCAGCTCTTCAGCTCAAGGCTAGCACTCTACCACTAGAGCCATAGCGCCACTTCCAGCTTTTTTCTTTTTGCTTATGTGGTGCTGGGGAATCGAACCCAGGGCCTCAGGCATGCAAGGCAAGCGCTCTACCACTGAGCCACCTTCCCAGCCCCCTACCCCTCTCCCTTCTTTATCTGCCCAACAGGCTCTAGCCATATGACTCAGGTCTGACCAATCAGTGAGTCTTATTCATTCCTCCCTGATTTTGATTGGTCCATGGGTGGTCACACGACCAAAGCCAATTGTATAAAGAAATCTAGATGAACTAAGAATCCACTGTGGGGGTGAGGAGGGTCAGGGAGCTGTGGGTTCCGATTTTTGAGCTCTGTTTCTACTGTTCTTAAGTTCTGAGAGCTCCAGCATTCCTTACAACTATATCTGTGAAGTCTCAACTATCTTCCACTTTATTTTTGGTGTGGGTGGGTCCTGGGGCTTGAACTCAGGGCCTAGGCTGTTTCCCTTTGCTTTTCACTCAAGGCTGACACTCTACCACTTGAGCCACAACTCCACTTCTGAATTTTGGGTGGTTTATTGAGATAAAGAGTCTTACAGGGCTGGGAATGTGGCTTCGTGGTAGAGTGCTTGCCCAGCATGCATGAAGTCCTGGGTTCGATTCCTCAGTACCATGTAAACAGAAAAGGCCAGAAGTGGTGCTGTGGCTCAAGTGGTAGAGTGCTAGCTTTGAGCAAAAGAAGCTCAGAAACAGTCCCCAAACCCTAAATTCCAGCCCCAGGACTGGCAGGGGAAAAAAAAGTCTCACAGACTTTTCTGTCTGGGCTGGCTTCGAACTGAGACCCTCAGATCTCATTCTCTTGAAGTTAGGAGCAGAGGTGTGAGCCACCAGTGGCTTCTCTTGAAGTTAGGAGCAGAGGTGTGAGCCACCAGTGGCTGGCTTGTGTTTTCCTTCTTGCAGCTACATTCCTTTTAAATAACCCAAAAGCTTTATTAAAATATAACTTACAGTATACAATTTATCTATCAGAACTGTACAATTCAACACACTTAATGTATTCAGAATTGTGGGATCATTACCACGACAACTTCAGAATACTTTCACTACCCCAAAAAGAATCTTTGTCCTTTGATAGATTTGCCTGTTCTATGCATTTCATTTCAATGGAATCCTATAACATGATCTCTTGCAAGTGTTTTCTTTCACTAAGCATAAACATTTCAAGGCCTCTTTACATAACAGTAGTATTTTTGTTGTTGGTTGTGGTGGGAGGGGGTTTTGAACTCTGGGCCTGTGTGCTGTCCCTGAGCTCTTCTGCTCAAGGCTAAGGACTCTACCACTTTGAGCCACAGCTCCACTTCCAGTTTTCTGGTGCACGATTGGAGATAAAAATCTCCTGGACTTCCCTGCCTGGGCTGGCTTTGAACCGTGATCCTCAGATCTCAGGCTCCTGAGTGGCTAGGATGACGGGCATGAACCACTGGCACCTGGCTTCAGAGTAATTTTTATTTGCTGAGATCTGTATGGGTTTCTAGCACTCATTCAAAGTGTGCCCAAAATTTGATGAGGTCAAATAATTCTGGTGTGTGTGTGTGTGTGTGTGTGTGTGTGTGTGTGTGTGCGTGCGTGCATGTGTGTGTGTGTGCGTGCATGTGTGTGTGTGTGTGTGTGTGCATGTGCTCATGCTGTGCACTGGTACTGGGGCTTAAACTCAGTACCTCTCTTGCTTAGCTTTTTCCGCCCTAGGCTGGCATTCTGCCACTTGAGCCACACCTTCACTTCTGGCTTTTTCGTGGTTAATTGGAAATAAAAGAGTCTCTTTGGTTTATGTGTTTGGCCTGGCTTCAAATAATGATCCTCACATCTCAGCCTCCTGAGATGTAATGATGTAAGTCATCAGCACTGGCTTCTCAGTGCTCTTTCTTGCTAGGAAACACCAGTAATAATGAATCCAACTAAGAAGCAGAGTGATGATACCAATGACCCTGCATCTGCCGCTGGTCTGTGGGATTCTAGCTTGAGCATGCTGAAGTATCCTCAAGGCTGAAGCACAGCCTGGCACCAGTGGCTCACGCCTGTAATCCCAGCTACTCAGGAGGCTGAGATCTAAAAATCACAATTCAAATCCAGCCCAGGCAGGAAAGTCCATGAGACTGGGATTTGAACTCAGGGCATGGGCAAAAAGCCAGAAAGAGATCTGTGGCTTATGGAGTAGAGCACCAGCCTTGAGCAAAAAAGCTCAGAATCAGTGCCCATGCCCTGAGTTCAAATCCCAGTCTCAGCATTTACTTATTTATTTATTTATTTATGTCTGTCGTGGGGCTTGAACTCTGATCCTGGGCGCTGTCCCTCAGCTCTTCAGCTAAGGCTAGCGCTCTACCACTTGACCCACAGTGCCACTTGCGGTTTTTCTGGTGGTTCATTGGAGATAAGAGTCTCAGGGACTTTCCTGCCGGGGCTGGCTTTGAACTGGGATCCTCAGATCTCAGCCTCCTGAAGTGCTAGGATTACAGGCGTGAGCCACTAGCACCTGGCTAGTCTCAGCATTAAAGAAAAAAAAAAAGAGGCTGAGAACAGACAGAGACTAACACAGTGCTGGGCGCAGCAGTACCCAACCACTCCCTTGTGGGAACTAAAGCAGCATATCTCCACCCTTCCCCCCTGTCCCCAAAAAGGAAAAAAGTCAGAAGACGTGTTCAGCAAGTTTAATACCTGATGCTGTATCATGCAAATGCCATACTATGGCCCACCCGAGGTGCAGGAGGCGCGGAGGCCTTGGGGACAGCACTACATGGCCGGGGGAAACGGGGTCACCTAACGTGGATGGGAGGAGGGAGGCGATGACAGCCCAAACCTATGACCTTCTCCTCAGGGAAAGCCGCATCCGCTCCACCTTCACTCCCGCACATAAATTCTTGTGCAGACCACATCATCGGCGCCAAATGTCTACGCAAGAGAGAAAAGGAAAAGTAATTACTACTGATGTCCGTGTGATGCTGTTCAAAGCATGTCACTGAAAAAGCCACCAACCACCCTGTTAGACATTCTTCCTTCAAGGACCAGTGGCTCACGCCTGTCACCCTGGCTACTCGGGAGGCTGAGACGAGAGGACTGCAGTTCGAGGCCAGCCCAGGTAGAAAAGTCCATGAGACTCTCATCTCCAATGAACCACCAGAAAGAGGGAAGTGAGGTTTGGCTCAAGTGATAGAGCATCAGTCCTGAGAGAGAAAAGCCAAGCAAAAGTGACAGGTCCTGAGTATAAGCCTCAGTGCTGGTATGTGTGTGTGTGTACATGCGTGCATGTACACACACATACACACACACACACACAAGAACTGCAAGTTTTTTGCACAGACATCTTCATTGCTGCACTGTTCACAAGAGTCAAGTTATGAAATCAGCCTAGATGCCCTACAATAGATGAGTGGATCAAAAAAAATGTGATACTTCTACACAGTGGAATTTTACACAGCCATTAGAAAGAATAATATTATGCCATTTGCAGAGACATGGATGGACCTAAAACAAATCATGTTAAGTGGGAAGTCAAGCTTAGAGACACTAACAGCACATGTTTTATTTCCTAAGTGAAAGCTAGACCTAAAACACCCAGGACATGATAAATTAGATAATACTCTAGGCGTTCACACACAGGGAGACCAAAGGAGTGTGCTCTTAGGCCATGCCTACGTGCCTCTGATCATATAAAATATTTATTGAAATGAACTCCAGGAAATGGGAACATGAGATTTTTTTTTTCTTTTTCTTTTTTTTTTTTGGGTCCGGTCGTGGGGCCTGAACTCTGGGCCTGGGCGCTGTCCCTCAGCTCTTCAGCTCAAGGCTAGTGCTCTACTACTTAAGCCACAGCGCCACTTCCGGCTTTTTTCTGTTTGCTTATGTGGTGCTGAGGAATCGAACCCAGGGCCTCATGCATGCAAGGCAAGCGCTCTACCACTGAGCCACCTTCCCAGCCCAGAAATGTACTCTTTACCTGACTTATGTAACCCTGTGCATCACCTTTATAACAACAACAACAAAGAAACAAAAGAAATGCACATTTTAGCCAGGTGCCCCTGGCTCACACTTGTAATTGTAGTTACTCAGGAGGCTGAGATCTGAGGATCATGGATGGAAGCCAGCACCTGGTAAGAAATGTCCCCGTGAGACTCATCTCCAATTAACCACTCAACAAACAGAAGTGGAGCTGTGGCTCAGGTGGTAGGGTGCTAGCCTTGAGCACAAAGAGGCTCAGGGACAGTGCCCAGGTCCTGAGTTCAAGCCCCACAGCTGACCCAGAAAAAGCTAAGTTTTAAACCAACCTCTGGTGGTTTAAAGAGCTCTTGGAGCCTCAAAGCTCTTGCCAGCTAAAATTCTATGGCTCTTTGTTCCAGGGAGGACACAAATCATTCACAGATGGAGGACATTTTTCTTCTCTTTCTAGGATTGACACTGTGCATCTAATTCAATTGTCAGCTTTTCCAGATAAGGACAGTTTGTCATAGGCCTGCTCTCCTTGGGTATATCACAGGCCATTAGAACAAGGAAAAACCCAAAACCTTGCTGGGCACTTGTGGTTCACTCCTGTCATCCCAGCTACTCAGGAGGCTGAGATCTGAGGGTTGAAATTCAAAGCCAACTTCAGGCAGGAACGTCCTTACGACTCAACTCTACCTTTCATCTCTCAAAGTCTTCTGAAATTCAAGAGAAGTTAAAACAAACCACTGGGTGCTGGGAAGGTGGCTCAGTGGTAGAGTGCTTGCCTCGCATGCATGAGGCCCTGGGTTCAATTCCCAGTACCACATAAACAGAAAAAGCCAGAAGTGGCACTGTGGCTCAAGTGAGCTGAAGAACTGAGGGACAGCGCCCACGCCCAGAGTTCAGGCCCCACGACAGACAAAATATAAAACAAAAACAAAACAAAAACCACTGGACTGGGCTGGAGGCGTGGCTCAAGTGGTAGAAAGCCAACCTACTTAGCTAGTGGGAGGCCCTGAGTTCAAGCCCCCATACCACCAAAACCCACTCAAACAAGAAATGCTGCACTGAGTCAAGTTACCTTTGGATCTTTAAATTTCTTTTGTGTGTTTGTGTGTGTACTTTAATTTGTTGTGCAGGTTCGGGGGCTTGAACTCAGAGGCTGGGTGCTCTTAGCTTTTCTGTTTGAGGTTGGTGCTCTACTACTTGATCCAAAAAACCTCAACTTCTGGCTTTTTGGTGGTTAATTGGAAATAAGAGCCTTACAGACTCCTGCCTCAGCTGACTTCCAAATGTGATCCTCTGATCTCAGTCTCCTGAGCAGCCTGTGTGAGCCACTGGTGCCCACCGGCTTTATTTTTTTTTTTTAATTTCCTACACTGCTGGAGATCAAATCCAGGGCCTTGCACATGCTAAGGAAATGTTCTACTGTTGATCTCACATTCCTAACCTTTCTTTTTCTTTTCTTTTCTTTTTTTTACTTGAACTCAAGATATCTTACTCAGCTCGCTTGCTTGGATGGTGCTCGACCACTTGAGCCACACCTCCATGCCAGCTTTTTTGCTGGTTGAGTCTCAAAGATAATTCTGCCCAAGCTGCCTTCAAACAGTGACCCTCCAGATCTCAGCCTCTTAAGTAGCTGGGATTACAGGTGTGAGACACCAGTACTCATTAGAAATGGCCTTTCTCAGCCTGCAACCTCTACTTAGAGACTCTGAAAAGAAACTGGCTAAAGAATATTCCAAAACAATGTGAGGAAGGATTCTAGTTGTTAAAGAAAGACCATCTGCAGTGGAAGGGAACTTTTCCTGCGGGTGCTCAAGAAGTAATTTCAACTTAACTAGAATAACTTGCTCTTGTTATATTGAGCTTCTGTCTCCTGACTTTGCAAATTTATTAATGATAATAACCCTTGAAACCAAAGCCCATATTTCAGATCCAATGGCCAGAAATGAACATTCCCCTAAAAGCCTGTGTTCTGCCAACTCAGGAGCAGATGTCTGATAGAACCGCAGTATGGGTGGAAGGCTTGGGGAATTCTAGAAGAATCTGGCTTGTGATTCTAGCAACTTGAATTCTACTCGAGTGATATGTTCTCAGAGTTTGCCCATCTGTCCTCCACCGATGGGAGAAGCCTGAAGCCTTCCTGCCTTTGCTGCCTGCAGTCCTGTGTGTGTCCGTTCCCCTACATGAGTGTGCCCAGCTGGCACCACTCCCCCACGCCTTCCCTGGAAACCACATTAGCTAGGTGGTAAACTGAGGCAGCCTGTGCTATATGAAAGGAGAAAGAACATTAAAGCAAAGTGGGGGGCTGTTATCAAGCAGCCTCTACCTGGAGAATAAACACAGAATTCCTAGGGCTGGGAGAAATCTTGGGGCAAGACCTAAACTGAACCCCACATTTGGTACCAGGATAACTGAGTTCAGGGCTAAGGAAGGAAGGAAAGAGAAGAGGAAGTGGGGAGGGGGAAGAAGGGAGAACTGGGCACTGGTAGCCCATGCCCATCTTCCAAGCTACTGAGGCTGAGCTCTGAGGACTGCAGTTCAAAGCCAGTCTGGGAAGGAAGGTCCATGAGACTTATCTCCAATGAACCACCAGGAAACTGGAAGTGGAGCTGTGGCTCAAAGTGGTGGAATGCTAACTTTGAGCAAAAGAGTTCAGGGACAGAGTCCAGGCCCCAAGTTCAAGCCCCATGACTGACCAAAAAAAAAAAAAAAAAAAAAAGCTGGGCACCAGTGGCTCACACCTGTCATCCTAGCTACTCAGGAGGCTGAGATCTGAGGATTATCGTTCAAAGCCAGCCCGGGCAAAAAGTACATGAGACTCTTATCTCCAATAAAATGCCAGAAAACCGGAAGTGGCGCAGTGGCTCAAGCAGCAGCGCTAGCCTTGAGCTGAAGAGCTGAGGGACAGCGCCCAGGCCCAGAGTTCAAGACCCATGACTGAGGGAAAAAAGCCCAAACAAAGCAATGTAAAAGAAGAAGGAAATATGGAGAGGAGAGAAGGAAGAAAGGGAGGAAGAAGAAGGGAAGAAGGGAGGTGGGGGGGGGGGGGAGAGCCAGTTCACACACGGAATCCTTCTCCCACCCCTCCTCTGAGCTATCCCCACCTCTGAGGTGGGCGGGCTGTCTTGGGAGACATTAATAAAATGTCTGACAGAGAATAAAGGACACAAATTCCTGGTTACTCACAACAGCTTTTCCTTTTTCTAATCTGTTGGGGGATGGGGTGGGGAAGGCTGCAAAGAAAGTTCTGGAACACAAAGGGAGAGTGACACGGGGCTGTCTGCCTTCCCAGGCTTCCTTTGTTGCACTAAGAGCTGGAGACAGCATGCGATTAAACGGATGGCCTCCTTAGGTACCAGGCTTGGTGGTGGGTTTTTTTGTTTTGTTTTGTTTTTGCCAGTCCTGGAGCTTGAACTCAGGGCCTGGGCACTGTCCCTGAGCTGCTTTTGCTCAAGGCTAGCACTCTACCACTTGAGCCACAGCACCACTTCCAGCTTTTTCTGTGTATGCAATCCTGAGGAATTGAACTCAGGGCTTCATGCATGCTAGGCGAGCACTCTACCACTAAGCCATATTTCCCTTCCCGTCCCCTCCCCATTTCCTGCCAACCTTCCAACAATAATTGCACCATTCTGTTCAAGGCTAGTGCTCCACCACTTGAACTACAGATCTACTTCTAGATTTTTTAGGGGTTTTTTTTGTGTGTGTGTGCCGGTCCTGAGGCTTGAACTCAGGGCCTGGGCTCTGTCCTTGAGCTTTTTTTTGCTCAAGACTAGCCCTCTATTACTTGAGCCGCTTCTAGCTTTTTGGTGGTTCATTGGAAACTAGTCTTATGGACTTTCCTGCTCAGGTTGGCTTCGAACCGCGATCCTCAGATCCCAGCCTATTGAGTAGCTGGGATTACAGGCATGAACACTGGTGCCTGCCTTTTTGCTCATATTTTAAACCCAAGGCAAATGTCGTCCTCTGAATGAGCCTAGGGGGACCCCCATTTGTGTGTCCGCCTTGGGGACCATCTGGGGGAGCTGTAGGGTGGCCTTGGGGTTGAGAGGCCCTCACCAGGATGAGCTCGTCGTTGGCCAGTTCGCGGGTCCAGTAGGTTTTGGGGCCGTCCCCCTCAAGAAGAGTCTGTGTGCAATGGATCTTGTTCTCATTCTCCCAAGTGGGTAGACTCTGTGGGCAGGAAAACCATTAACGACATTAATGACCGCCCTGTGGCGGTGGAAACAGACCAGAAATGAGCACTGGAGAATAATTACTATTCAGAAAAGCAACACAGAGTCCTTGTCAGCTGGGCTTCCAACCTTCTCTGCTCAACTAAATCAAATATAAATTCAGAGTAGTGGTAGGGAGGGTCATTGGGTTTTATGGGCTATAAACACACCTTGTATTTTATGCATCTGAGACTCGCTGAAGCAGTAGAGATTTAGCTATGTTTTATATTGCTACAAATAAAACTCAGGATACGTAATGATGTTATATCAAGATGGACTCTTTTTTTTTTTTGCTAGTCCTGCCTGGGACTTGAATTCAGGGCCTCGACACCCATCCCTTCCCTGAGTGTCTTTGTGCTCAAGGCTAGTGCTCCACCACTTAAGCTACAGCATCATTTCCAGCTTTTTCTTAGTTTATTGAGGATAAGAGTCTCATGGCCTTTCCTGCCCAAGCTGGCTTTGAACCGTGACCCTCAGATCTCAGCCTCCTGAGTAGCTAGGATTATAGGCATGAGCCACCCACAACTGGTGGATTCTTTTCTTCAAGTAATTTGGATTTGATTGGATTTTGTTTGTTTATTTATTTATTTTAGTGCCAGTACTGGCATTTGACTCAGGAGCCTCACACTCCCACTTGGCTTTTTTACTCATGACTGGTGCTCTACTATTTGAGCCACACCTCTATTTCCAGCTTTTTGCTGATTATTTGGAGTTAAAGAGTCTCTTGTACTTTTCTGCATGGGCTGGCTCTGAACCTCAATCTTCAGACCCAACCTCCTGAGTAGCTAGGATGACAGGTAAGCCACTGGATCCCAGAAAGCAATTTGGATTTTGAAAGCCAGAACCTCAAAATGAACTATGCAACTTGTGCTCAGAGGTGGGTAGAGGAAACTGGGGAAAGCAAAAGGGGTGTCCAAAAGAAAAATGTATGCAGTGCAGGAATTCTAAATGGTAATCCCTCTGCACAACACCTTAAAAATAAGAATTACACACACACACACACACAACAACTTAAGAACTGCAAAATTTTACAACAGTTAAGATAACATGTTGTTCTTTTTTTGGGGGAGGGCGGAGGTCTGGTTGTTGGGCCTGAACTCTCTGGGTCTGGGCGCTGTCCCTCAGCTCTTCAGCTCAAGGCTAGCGCTCTACCACTTGAGCCACAGCGCCACTTCCAGCTTTTTTCTTTTTGCTTATGTGGGGCTGAGGAATCGAACCCAGGGCCTCATGCGTGCAAAGCGAGCGCTCTACCACTGAGCCACCTTCCCAGCTCTAAGATAACATGTTTGTAACAACAATTGTGACAATAGTTCAGGATCACTAGTTTAGGGATAATAAACAGTGCCTTCCTTCTTCTGCACTCCTATCAGAGAGAGCTCACTGTCTACTTGGATAAAACTAGTTACTGCTGGGGCTGGGAAGGTGGCTCAGTAGTAGAGCGCTTGCCTTGCATGCCTGAGGCCCTGGATTCGGTTCCTCAGCACCACATAAGAAAAAAGCCAGAAGTGGCCCTGTGGCAAGTGGTAGAGCGCTAGCCTTGAGCTGAAGAGCTGAGGGACAGCGCCCAGGCCCAGAGTTCAGGCCCCACGACCAGACCCAAAAAAAAACAAAAAACAAAAAACTAGTTACTGCTGTCTCCAACACTGACTGTCTCCACTTTCTAGGTTCCATACTTCTAGAAAAAAAATTTTTTTTAAATCAAGCCAACCTGGTCAGGCACCAGTTGCTCATGCCTGTAATCCCAGCTACTCAGAAGGCTGAGAGCAGAGGATGGAGGTTTGAAGTCAGCCTGGGCAAACAAATTTAATAGATTCTTATCTCCACTTAACCAGCCCCCCACCCCCAAAAAACCCAAAAGACAAAAAAAAAAGTGGAGGTGATAAGTGTCAGTCTTGAGTGAAAAAGCCAATGACAACATGAGGATCTCAATTCAAGCCTAGACTGGCACAAAAACAATAATTAAGCCAACCCAAAGAATCTTCAGGATACTGGAGGCAGAAGAGGAAGAAGGAATTTGGGGCACCTTTTCCCGGTGTTTACACAAAGCAAAATGTGGATTAGCACCTGAACACTCTTTTTGTGTGAGTACTAAGGCTTGAACTCAAGGTCTCAAGCTTGTTTGGCTTTTTAGTGGAGGGCTGGCATTCCTGAACCAGAGCTCTATTTCCAGATAGTTGGTGGTTAACTGCAGAGTGTCATAGACTTTCCTCTCTGAGTTAGCTTTGAACCATGATTCTTATATCTCAGTCTCCTGAGTGGCTAAGATTACAGGCATGAGCTCCCAGCATTTTGTTTTGTTTTTAGTTTGTTTTTGAGACAGTCTCAACACACAGCCCAGGCTGATTCTGAACTCTAGCTCCTCTCGCCTCAGCCTCCTGAGTGCTGGGATTACAGAAATGTACTACCTTGTCCAGAGAGCAAGAGGTTTTTACTTCCCCAACACTGACTCAGGAATAAAGCAATGAACTGTACATTCCTTTTTTTAAAAAAAAAATACCAATAACATACTGCATTTAGTTCCACAGATGGAAAAATAATTTCTGCTGCTGCTTGACTTAACAGTATTATCTCCCTCCTTTTCTCTAGTGGTTTTTTTTTTTTTCTTAAGTAGTAACATTCCAAAGAGTCGGAAACTATTTCTTTTCTTTCATCTCTCCAGAGCCCATGCCTGTCTGATCTCAGAGCTAGACTCTGAGCACCAGGCTCTGGAGAAAGGCAGATTGGACCCAGTCCACATGCCACCCCAAGAACAGGAGGCAATCTTTGGCCCTGGAATTGCATAGCTTGAAAAACGATGTCTAGCTTGCTGTTGGTGAGATCTAAGGTCTAAATCATCACATTGCAAAAACAAAGGAAGAGCCTAGGACTTGTTGGCTCACACAGTCATCCTAGCTACTCAGGAGGCTCAGATTTGAAGCCACCCTGGGCAAGAAAGTCTGTGAGATTCTTATCTCTAATTTACTACCCAAAACTGCTGGAAGTGGATCTATAGCTCAAGTAGTCAACTGTCAGCCTTGAGAAAAAAAATAAATAAAACAAGAAAACGAGGAGCTCAAGGCCCTGAGTTCACACACACACACACACACACACACACACACACACACACATCCCAAACAATTAAATCCACCAACAACTTAGAAAGGGCTCTCAACCTATCTCCCTAGCCAGAACCTAGGTTGCATTTGCTTTGGGAAGATCTTGCCGTTTCTTTAAGAAATCGGCTGAGGATGGGCCTTGGGGACTGCTGAAGGTGGATTCTGAGCAGTTCCCACGGGGGTGGGGGGAGGGCTCGGAGAGGAATGAGGCGCTGCAGCTGCACCTGTGCCACGGGATTCTGCAGCCCTGAACACTGCAGACCCTGCAGCTTCCTCGTGCACAACAAAAAACGAACCCGCCCCCCCCCCCCCATGCTGGGGCTGAGGAGGAATCTGGCATGGAGGCACAGATTATCACCGTGAGATGGGGTTGGGAGGGATGGCGGAATAGAACTTTCTCCCGCGCCAAGAGCTACCAGGTGGCAAAATCTTCTTTGCAATGGAAATCCCGAAGTTCCTGCAGCTGCAGTAAGCTGGAAGAGTAGGTGGGAAAGAGGGATAGCCCCTCCGCCCCCTGCCCGGAGTGCAGCGTGGACTCCGGGACCTCACCTTGCACTTGCGCCCGTCCACCGTCTCCTCCTCGAAACCTTCCCCCACCTTGAAGTTGATCTCGGTGGTGCGCACGGTGGTCGATGTCTTGATGTAGAACTGATCCCCGTCCTGGCGGATCTCCACGTGGGGTTTGGACGCTGCGGCCACTGCCACCTTCCTCAGCATGGCGTTCACACCTGTGCAAGAAAACAAAAAAGGGGGGGGTGCACGTAGGCTGGGATCGCAGGACCTCCTCACCCCTCCATCCACCCCCACCCATCCATCCGTCCCCCAAACCCATCCATCCATCCCCCCAAAACCATCCATCCACCCCCACCCATCCATCCGACCTCCAAACTCATCCATCTACCCCTCACCTGTCCATCCACACCGACCTATCCACTCACCCCCAACCCCTCCATCCGCCCCCACCCACCCATCCGTCCCCCAAACCCATCCATCCGCCCCCACCCACCCATCCGTCCCCCAAACTCATCCATCCACCCCTCACCCCTCCATCCACCCCGACCTATCCACTCACCCCCCACCCATCCGTCCACCCCTCACCCCTCCATCCACCCCGACCTCTCCACTCACCCCCAACCCATCCATCCACCCCTCACCTGTCCATTTACCCCCACCCATCTATCCACCCCCCCAAACCCATCCATCCATCACCACCCATCCATCCGTCCCCCAAACTCATCCATCCACCCCTCACCCGTCCATTTATCCCCACTTATCCATCCATCCCCCCAAAACCATCCATCCACCCCCACCCATCCATCCGTCCCCCAAACTCATCCATCCACCCCTCACCCGTCCATCCACCCCGACCCATCCACTCACCCCCCACCCCTCCTTCCACCCCTCACCCCCCCATCCACCCGTCGTCCGGGGCTGCCGGCGCGCCCCAGGTCCTCTGGCTTTGGAATGAGCGCACGGCCTCTCGGCCGGCGCCCCGGTCTCCGGCGCTAAGAAAGGATCCCCGAGGGTGCGGGCCCTCGGGGCAAGCCTGGCAGGTCCGGCCCGGAGCTGGCCGCGCGCCGCCCCGGCCCGCCGCGGAGCGCCCCTCTCTCCCAGCGATGGAGAAGGTAGAACCGTCTAGAAAGCTGCCGGGCGTCCCGTCCGGCGAACGTTAGCGCGGCCCGAGGCTCGTCCCGGGCCGCGCGCGTGCGCACGGGGACGCGGCGACCTGTCACAGCACGGGCTCCCCAACTTCTACCCCCTCTCTCCGGGACCAAGGGGACACCGGCTCACCCAGAGCCTTGAGAAGCTCGTCGAAATTCTCGCTGCTGCGCATCTTCCAGGTGCCGGCGAAGTTGGGCATGATGGTGGCTGCGGTGGCGGCTGTACGAAGGGACGCGGACGGCGGCGGCGGAGCGGCACACGCGGCGCTGCGCGGCGAAGACTGGCGCTCTGCGCCCGGCCGCGCGCTCTTGGGGTCCCCGGGAGGGCGCCCCGCCCCTCACGGGCCACGCCTCCCATCGGCCACGCCCCCTCACAGGCCACGCCCCCAAGGCCTCCCCGCCCGTCCCAGGTGCCTGGAGTCCCCGAGAATGCGCCCGCCTCATAGGCCCCGCCCCGTCCAGGCCCCGCCCCCACCTGCCTGCGTCCGCAGAGGGCGCCCCGCCCCCGGAGGCCACGCCCCTGGTCCTCCCCCGCCCACCCCACGTCCCCGGAGTCACCACACCCCTGCCTAGGCCACGCCCCCAGCGGGCCCCCTCACCGGTCCAGTTCTGGGGGGGGCCTCAGGCCTGCCATCGCCCCTCCAACCCAGCCGCAGCCAATGAGATTGGGGGGGAGGGGAGGCTTGCGGCTCAGGCCTTTCATCCCAGCCACTCAGGAGACAGACCGGAGGATCCCAGTTCGAAGCCAGCCCGGGCAGGGAAGTGTATAAGCCAGATGTGAAGACGTGGCTCCAGGGGAAGGCAAGCTCAGGGGAGCGCCGAGGCCCTGAGTTCAAGCCCCGAGGCTTGGTGGTACATCCGGGCTGGGGGAGGCTAGAGGGGGTCCGTGGCCCCTCCTCCCCTCCCCACTTCCGGGATGCTGAGCCACACCGCATATACACCCACGCACCTACACGCCGCCTATAACCACGCATGCGCAGCACCAATGGGCGTGAGTGGCGGGAAAGCCCCAGCCAGCCCGGCCCGCGTGCCCGTGGAGGCGCCACCGTGAGGAATCCAGGGTCTCGCGACAATGCAGATGGCCCACGCGCCTGCGCAGCCTGGGGAGGGCGCCCGGGTCGCAGCACTCCACCAGCGGGGAGCCGGGTGAGTGGCTGTGGCTTGTGCAGAGCAGTGGGGTGTTTTCTCCCATATTTGTACCTCGGGGCCAGTCCTCCAGTGTCTCCACTGAGGGCTTCCTGGTGGGCCTTCTGGCTCCTCGCTGCAGACCTCCCATTTCCCCACCACCTCTACACCAGGCCACCATCTAGGCCTCGTGCTAGGCCCTCTGCCAGGATGCCCTTCTCCTTGGATTAGCACAATCTTTCCTGTCCACCAAAGACCATATTTATCTTTTTGTGTGTGTGCAGGTCCTAGGGCTTGAACTCAGGGCCTGGACACTGACTCTGAACTTTCTCATTCAAGGTTGGTGCTCTACCACTTGAACCACAGTTCCACTTCCAGCTTTTTGCTGGTTCATTGCAGACAAGAATCTCACAAGCCGGGCGCTGGTGGCTCACGCCTGTAATCCTAGCTACTCAGGAGGCTGAGATCTGAGGATCGCGGTTCAAAGCCAGCCCGGGCAGGAGAGACCGTGAGACTCCTATCTCCAATAAACCACCAGAAAAAAAAAAAACCGGAAGTGGCGCTATAGCTCAAGTGGTAGAGCGCTCGCCTTGAGCTGAAGAGCTGAGGGACAGCGCCCAGGCCCAGAGTTCAAGCCCCACGACCGACAAAAAAAAAAAAAAAAAAAAAAAGAATCTCACAGATTTTCCTGCCCCGGACTGGCTTCGCACTAAGAGCCGTATAGATCTCAGCCTCTTGAGTAACTAGGATGACTAGTTACCAGCGCCTGGCCCGATTGATCTTCATTATAAAACAATTTCCTCGTGAAACGTGATCATTTTTCTCTGAACTTGCAGGATCCTTTTTGGTCCTGATCTTATTCAAGTCTTCACTTGGCTATAAATGGAACATTTAGAAGATAATGATTGAAGCTTTTCAGTGCAGCCTGCCTTTCTCAGACTCACCTGGGTGGAGCTCAATAACTATACATGGAATCATTTTTTTATGGTACTGATATTGAAGCTTGAACTCATAGCCTCTCACTCTTGCTTAGCTTTTTTGTTCAAGACACATTTTCCACTTCTAGCTTGTTGTTGTTTTTCTGGTTACTTGGAAGTAAAAATATGATGTACTTTTCTGCCTTGCTGGCCTCAAACCATGATCCTCAACGCTCAGCCTCCTGAGGAGCTAGGGTTATATGCGTAAACTACCAGCACTTGGCCCATGCATACATTTGAAAAGAGTTGTGTTCTACAGCTCTGAGGTGTGTGCAGGTCAGTCTCCTCAAGAGTCTGTTGTTCAGTGCTTGCTGACAATGGCCCTGCGCTTCTGCACTGGGCCAGCTTGCTAGTATCCTGTCCAGGGTTGTCTAAAAAAGTAGCTGAAGCTGGGCCACGGATGACTCTCATGGAGTTTTCTGACTGGGCTGGCTTTGAACTGTGATCCTCAGATCTCAGCCTCCTGAGTAGCTAGGATTATAGGTGTGAGCCACGGGTGCCCAACCAAAAAGCATCTTTTGAGTTGCCTCTGAGTTTGGGACTGTGTAAGTCATGTCTGCAGAGGCACTTTGGGAATTCAGGAGTGGAGAAATTCCTCCTAAACAAACTCTCCTTTAAAGGGACACTGGTTGGTGATTTCCCGAGAACTCATGGATTCTATTCTGGACCATTTCTCCCTGCCCCCCCTCCCCCGGGTCCTCCAGGGGAGGCCTTTGGTTGTGGATGTGGCTGAGTCTGGCATCCTGCTGTGGATGCCCCAGGGACGCAGACCCCTCTCCAAGACCCCTTTGTTCTCTGCTTCTCCCAGGACACTGACCTGCGCCATCCCTACACTGGGCATTTCTGCTGAGCTTGGCTGTTTTGGGCCTGGAGGCTTGCCAGGGCCCAGCTCCCCTAGGCCCGCTAGCCTGGCCCCACGCCTTCAGGCAGGTCCGATTCACGCTGGAAGAATGGGGGTCAGAGTTCAGTCCCCAAAAGCTAGGGGCTCTGAAGAGGGGCCCAGTTGGGGGTGTTCAGGGTAGTTCTCTAGAGTGGGGGCTGGGACCACGGTGCTCCGCCTCAGACAATCAGGGAGTCAGCACAACAGGACAAAGAGCCCATTCCCAGGGACAGATGGCATCTGACTGCCCTTGCAGGGCTCGTAGGGCTTCTTTTAGGTTAGTGGAATAGAAGGAGCACTGGACTCGGAGTCAGAGAGCAGAAAGCATCAGGACTGAAAGGGTATCAAGGACCCTAGAGTCCCTTAGCAGAATAAATACAAGTAGGTAATATTTAGTGAGCTTTTACTATGTGCCAGGAGTGGTAGCCAGTGCTTTATGCATAGTCATGAACCCCATGCATATTCATTAATGATCCTGCATATTCATTCATCACCTCTGTCCTATGAGATAAGTGCCCATTTACAGATGGGGAAACTGAGACGCAAGAACTAAGGTGCCATTCCCAAGACCTCTCAGCTAGTGTGTGTGTGTGTGTGTGTGTGTGTGTGTGTGTGAGAGAGAGAGAACTGGCAGGTGAACTCCGGTTGGCTGGCCCCAAATTTATGTCTGATGGTTTATCACACTTGTCGGGAGACTCACAGTGGGAGCACAAAGTTCCAGGTTATGCAGTGGAGTGAGGGACAGGAAGCCTTGTCTCTTGCTGACCAACCCCATGGATGGAAGGCTCATGGGAGACTTCTGGGGCCTGGGATGTCTAGCTCCCTGACAAGTCACACTAAGACAAATCTGCTTAAAACTAGAGCCAAGAGCCAGGCAAGGGTAGCTCATACTCAAAACCCTACTTACCTGGGAGGCTGAGAATGGAAAGATCACAGCTCCAGGTCAGCTTGGGTAGCAAAGTTCAAGAGACACCTCATAGAAAAAGCTGAGTACTGTGGTGTATGCCTGCCATCCCAGCAACTGCAGTGAAACTAAAACAGGTGGATCGCTGGGTGCCAGTGGCTCACGCCTGTCTAAGATCTGAGGAGGCTGAGATCTGAGGATCAAGGTTCAAAGCCATCCCGGGCAGGAAAGTCTGTGAGACCCTTATCTCCAATAAACAACTCAGGAAACTGGAAGTAGTGCTATGGCTCAAGTGGTAGAGTGCTAGCCTTGGGGTGAAGAGCTGAAGGATAGCGCCCAGGCCCAGACCGACCAAAAAATATATATATATATACACACAGAAAAAGTCAGAAGTGACGCTGTGGCTCCAAGTGGTAGAGCACTAGCCTTGAGCAAAAGGAGCTCAGGGACAACACCCAGGCCTTGAGTTCAAACCCCACAACCAACAACAACAACAAAAAATGCAGCAGTGGTCCTCTCTACAACTTGTAGGTGGAGATGGGAAGAAAAATCAAGGAGAGAGCAAGGGAAGGGGAGACATTTCCTCAAAAGAAATGTGCTCCTTACCTGATTTATGTCACTGTCACCCCTCTGGTCCATCACCTTTATAATAACAATAAAAAATAACTAAATCAAATTAAATTAGATATGCATGGTACCATTGTTGAAAAGCCAGGCTTAGGGAGTTAGAGGTGCAAGTCAGTGGCAAGCACTTGCCTGGCATGGCTGAGGTACTGGGTTCAATCTCCAGCAGTGAAGAAAAGAAAAAAAGAAGTATGAAATAGGGTCTCCATAGAGGAACCCAGTTCTGATGATGTCACCAGAGAGGACCCTAAATGAATGACTGGTGGACCCAGAAAGGAAAGTAGCTGGGGGGGAGGGTAGAGGCAAGACTCAAGGAGAAGGCCACCAGTGACAAGTCTAATAGAGACCTGGATGGGTTTTCCCCTCCCAGGAAAGAAAGAGCTCTGCTGAGCACTACCTTAGTCTCAGAACCTCTATTGGTCAAGATCATCCTCCATTGGTGAAACCTCTCTCTGAGTGTGGGACCCAGTGACACAGCCCTTGGCCAGCACAGAGCCAAGAACTGGAGAAGGAGCTCTCCAGGTCTTCTGTTCACCTCTAAGCTGGGATAAGTCACCACCTACCCATCCATCCCTGGAAGGAAGGGCATGAGCGTTGGGCATCTGAGCAGGGAGGAGCTGGGCTCTGGTGGTCTGGGAGCCCAGATGATGTCAGCATCACCCCAAGTCCCCTGAACCAGAATCCCCATTG